ACTCGCAGCGGACCAACCCGCGACTGCGGTCATTGTCAGGGCCGCACACGACGCGCAGCATTGTAGGTCCATCCATCTGCGCGACCATCTCCAGCCAAGACCACGGCACTTTGACAGTGTGGTCCCAGTCCCAATCCCTGTTGTCCTGCGCCTTCCCCTTTGCGCGGTACTTAAGGATCTTCGAAATTTCCTCCGCAACTGCGGTACCTCCGAAGACGGGCGTGCGGCTGCCGAAAGGGTTTTCTCGGTCTTCGTACTCGTCTCGGAACCACTTCAAGGCCGCGTTGTGCTGCTTATAATTGCCGTTCCAGTTCGCCCTGAAGTTCTCGAAGAATTCCAACTTGAAAATTGGCAGCGGCTCATTGCGCACAATTTGAAACAGCGCAACTGCGCCTTGTTCTTCGCGCCCTGGGGGAAGCAGGGGACCGCCTCCTTTGCCCGCCGCTGTTGCGGCCGCGGGCTCCGCGGCAGGAGAACCTGCCGAGGCACTCGAGCGGCCACCTTCCCATGCATTCCACCAGCCACCCTCGTCGTCCCACCAGCGGGCGCCCTCCATTCCCCAACCCTCGCATCCGTTGCCGCCCCATCCGCCGCCCTCCCATCCGCGACTGCGGTCACTTCCGTCGCCGCCATCCTGCGCTTTTCCTCTCCATCCGCCAAGAGAATCTCCGCCGCCCCAGCCGCCACTGCGGTCACCTCCGCCGCCGTATCCGCCACTGCGGCCGCCCCAACCCCCACTTGTTCCCCAACCGCCGCCGCTGCTCTTTGAAGAATCCGCAACTGCGGCCCGTGTTTCCTCTTCCGCTTTGTCATCCCACCCTGCACGCATCTCTGCCCCGACTGCAGGCCGCGGAGGCGGGCGCGAGCCCGCCCAACCGCCGTGAAACCTACCGTCGGCGCGGGCTTGAGCCGAACGTGCATGGAGGAGGAGGATGAGGAGGAGGAGGGTGAATGTGAGGAGGATGATGCGTTCCTGGGAGGTGTGCCTTCGCGTGCAACACAAGAGCCCTGAGAATTCCTGAGGCCCCTCCAACAGCCAAGGACGCGGATGACAAGAAAGTCGAGAAGATTGGGAACCGATTGAGGATTAAGAGGCGTGCGACGAAAGGGATGATGATGACGAAGAGGAAGATCAGTGAAGGGGAGGAGCGGACAGGAATTATGGAGGAGTGATAGCAGAGGAGGAAGAGGGGGAAGGGGGAGGAGGAGGAGGAGGAGGAGGAGGGAGAGGAAAAGGGGGAGGAGGAGGAGGAGGAAGAAGGTGAGGAGGAGGAGGAGGAGGAGGAGGAGGAAGAGGAGGAGGAGGAGGAGGAGGAGGAAGAGGAGGAGGACGACGACGACGAGGAGGAGGAGGAGGAGGAGAGGGAGAAGGAGAACGGGGACAGGAGGACAAGGACGGAGAAATATAACAAATGAGGGGGAGGAGGCGGAGGAGGAGGAGGACGAGGAGGAGAAGCAGGAAGAGGAGGAGGAGAGGGGGGAGGAAGAGTGCGCGTGAGACTGGGAGAACGAGGTAATTAATTAGAGAGGGAACGGGGGAGGAGGGAGGACAAGGAAGAGCATACAGCGACGAGAAGAGGAGAAGGAACAGACGAAGGCTCCTGCTGATCGCATTTCCGCATCGTTCAAAGCAGTGCCGGGGCACTGCTTTGAACGACTGGTGATGTTCAAAGCAGTTCCCCGGCACTGTGTTCCATCGTCGCCGTTATAAGGGCTATTGGATTAGCTGTTCAAGCACCGCGCACGGCAGCACGACCGAGAAGCCCTCGCGGTGCTCCCGCGATGCACCGGGGATGACGAGCATGGCTGCGGCACGCCTGGTCGACAATGCTGCGTCACCATACAAAAAATAGCCACGGGAGTGGCCGGCGAAGCGAGCGGCTGCGTGCGCGCGCGCGCATCGCAGCAGGTGCGCCCACAAGCGGAGGGCCACCTGTGCCTGCGGAGGCCATTCGCCAGCGCGCTGGGCGGCCTCAAGGTGCCCGAGGGCGTCGTACAACGGACGCCGGGCGTGCGCCCCGGCTATCCCCTGCAGCCCCCGGGAGGCGAACACGAGCCTGCCGATGCAGGTGGACGCCGGCCCTGCTTGCGGGCGAGAGCCAGCGAGTTCCTCAAGGCTGTGACCCAAAAGGCTGCGGAGAAGACAAGGGAGCAGAGGGGGAAGTGAGACGGATGCATGCAAGTGCGGAGGGAGGGGGCAGAGAGACTAATACGCTTCACACTTGTGAATCCGCGATCTTTCCCCTCCTGACCTTGGTGGGATACGACCGCATGGGGTCGGAGGATCGCGCCGCATCGGCGGTGCATCGGTGACGCCCGGCCCAGCAGAGCCCGTGTCGCCGAAGTCGGGGGTTGCTTAAGGTGCAGGTGGCCCAAAGTGCCCCCAGCTTTTCGCCCAACTCTGGAGCCCCTGGCGCCTCGTGAGGGGTGCTCTGGATGCCGTGGGGGCCTCCATGGAAATCCTGGGGGGAACCTTGGGCAAAGGGCACTTCTAGCAACACCCGCCTCCGGAGCGGCAAGCAGGAACGGAACGCGCGGCCGGCTTCGCATGCGGAGGCAGGAGAGAGCCCAGAATCGCATCGATGAGTCGGCCCGGCGATCAAAATGAATCGGATCCTGGGTCGGAGAAAGTCGAATCGGCGGAAATCGGCAGGCGATTGGAGGCCTGGAAATGGGCACCAACACCAACACAGGGGGGGTGCCTCCACAGGGGGAAGATGATCCTAGACTTCGGTGTTGGTGGTAATATTTCGGCCACCTTGGAAGCCAGACTATTACCACCATCACCGGGATCGGGATCTTCATCCATCGGTGGAGGCACACCGCCGAAATTGGTGTTGGTGTCAATCTCTAGGCCTGCGAGGCGAGTAGGCATCCACTGAGAGATCGGAGGTCCCATCGAAAGCCGAAGCCGAACCGGATCGGACTCGGAAGCCTCCGAACTCGAGCGCGGGGGGGCGGCGGGCGGCCACGCACGAGAGGCTCGCGGCCGCGCGCGTGTATTATCGGGCTCCCCGGGTTGCGCCCCTTGGCGACGTCTACAATCGTCCCCCCTCGGCCGAAAACGCCCAAGATAGCCCCGAGACCGTCCAAGAAGCCTCCAAGACGTCCCAGGCCCCCTCCAAGAGACCCCCAGGAAGCCCCAAGAGGCCCCCACGAGGCTTCCAAGCGGCCCCTAAGAGCTTCCCAAGAGGCCCCCAAGAGCGCTCGTCGTTGTCGTCGTCGTCGTCGCCATTCAGGGTCGGCGGCACCGGCCGTAAGGCCTTCGCAATCGTCCCCCTCTACTGGATTCTGGGCGCGACCCAAACAGTGTTTTCCGTGATCGTGCTGTTTTCGTCCTCGCTCGTGCCGTCTTTGTTCCGCCCCCGCTGCAGAGCGACACCAGAACGGAGAGGGTCCACGACATCGCCAGAACACCGCTTGGCCCGCGCCCGGCTTGGGCTCTTCCCTGACCTTCGCATGGCTCCTCTTACCCCGGGCTCGCGATTCATCTGCAAAAGCGCTGACAGCGGCGAGAATTTGAGTCTGACTCTGGCACTTCCCGAGGATATACGGCGAGCCGAGGGGGGAGGTGAAGAAGGGCTCGGAAGTCCCCCTGGCCTCCCGGGACACTTCTGAACTTGTCCCGAAGACACAGAACACTTGTCAGAAGGCCGGAGAGCTTCTGAGAAGTCCCGCCGCCTTCTGGAAGGCCTTCTCCTTTTCATGTCCCCCCTCGCTCGCCGCCGAGAGATGCTTGAGTCGCGTGGGCAAGAACGAGCGGAAAATTGGAAGGGCAGAAACAACGGGGAAGACTGAGCGCTTTAGGGGCACTGGTGGCCGTCCTCTCACCGCCATCCTGCAGTCGCGCAGGCCAACTCCCATGCCCCCCTCCCCCATGTCGTCCTTCTGCCCGTCCTCCTTCTCCCCTCAACCACCTTCTCCTCCTCTTCTCCTCCCCCAATCTCCTCCTCCAACTCCTTTTCCTCCTCCACCTTTTCCTGCTCCTTCCTTCGCGGCTGGCGTACCCTGATCGAGGGTCGATCGAATCGCTTGCATAATCGAACCGGTGAAATCGAACCTCATCCGCAATTCAGGGGAAGTGCCTTGGCAAGTGCGAAGTCCGAATCGATCCGCGTCACGCGCACACCCCGGACGCATCATCGGATCGACCGAACCGCTGGCAGCCCTGTTCCACTCGCCCTCTTCATTGCTCCCGCAAAAAGGGGTTCTCCCACATCTGGGCACCGTCGGGCAGCAGAGGGGGAAGCTTCTCGTGAAGCTGCCGCAGACATCCCACATCCTCTCACGGCGGATCACGGATGTGGAGGAGTATTGGGAGGAAGGGGAAACAGGTGGTGGTGGTGGTGGTGGGGCCTTGGGCGACCGTATCCAGAGCGCTTCACTGCACTGCTGGCCCTGGGAAAGATATGGCAGCAGGGAAACAAATGGGGGTACTTCTCTCCCCGCTCGCCGCTGCCCTCGGCCTCCTCCGCCTTCCTCGAAAGTTAGAGGGGCCGATCCAGGGGGGTGGGTCCGACGGAATGCAATAGCCTCACTGGGGGCGGGAAGTCTGACCCGCAAAAGAGGAGGAGGATGAGAAAGGATAGGAAGATTAGAGGCCTCCTAGATGGGGTCGGAGTAGATGTGGTCGGAGGACCGAGCCGCCTCGCTGATACATCTCCGATGCATCGCCGATGCATCGGCGACGTCGGCGATGCATCGGCGACGTCTGCGTCGAGCAAAATCGGGCTCCGCATCGAGCCGCATCGCCGATGCAGCAGCGATGCGGGGAGATTCTCCGACCCCATCCACTCCAACCCCATCTGGGATCCCTCGAAAGATGAGGGGGGGTGGCGAGGATGACGAGGAGGGGGAGGAAGCGGCGGAGGAGGAGGACGAAGAGGAGGAGTAAACAAGCATGCTCCCCGTGGCCAATGCCGAGAACATTCCCCCGAATCCGGGCACCGTCGATCAGCGGGGAATGCGCAGCCACCCCGAGGATGCCCCCCAGAGCCAGCCTGGTTCTTGTCGTTGTTGGCGGCCAGGTTCCTGAGCGCGTTGGCCGCCATGATCTGCGCGTGGTTGCCCTGTCCAGGGGGGCCTCCAGCCCTCTCCACCTGCAAGTGGCACGCGTGCCCTGGCTCTGGCACAAGGGAACGGCGAGAAACAGACGAACCTGGCAACCATAGACAAGGCGACGGCCAGGAGGGAGAACCCGCCAGGGCAGCGAGGGGAGGGGCCAGTGAGAGGACGATGAACCACGAACCACAGCTGTGCAAGAGAATCAGACGCCCTAACTGTCGCACCACCAGGCATGTCGTCAGGGCAGGTCGGGCGTTTTGCCCGAGACTTCCTCACCGTGGAAGATATCAAAGCTTTAACCTTCCAGCCCTCACACGGATTGAAGGCGGATCGTTTTCGAAATGGGGCTCTCGCATTGGCGTCGTGCACACTCGCCTCATCAGGGGGGCGCGGGGTGTCAGGGCAAGGAGGGGCGGGAGGGGGCGGGAGGGAAGGAAGACGCGGGGAACCACGCCTGCCCCTCAAAGCCAAACCAGGGGCCGCACGGGGGACTGCAACGCACCACACTTAGGCAACCAGGCGACGCCTGGGCGGATCACGCGCCCTGGCAAGGCGCATGTGCATCTGAAGCGTCACAGCAAGTCTGAGATTACCTGGAGGAAACGTCCGAGACCCGTGAGGGCCTCGTGAGTCCCTGAGCCCCTTCCCGGGAAGCCCGCCTAGCCTCTCTCCTCTCCTGTCCGCTGGCCTCCCCTTCCTCTGTGTGCTCGTGCTTTCTCAACCCTTCTATGCCCCGTGGCTGTATGGCTCGCAGGCCGGCCTTTTGAGCTTTAGGCTCACACGTACTGGGTGACGGCTGTCACCCCACCGTAGCCGAGATTGATTACGGCCCGCTAGCCAGCGGGAGCACAGCGCAGAGAGCAGTGAAAAGAGCTATTCCTCGTTCAGAGCAAGCCTGGGGATACAACTTTGCAAACACGAGCATGGAGGAGGGGGTCGGCGCCAAAGCATGTTCAAAATTCGTCTTGCCCGAACGGCTTTCTCGCGGGGGAGCGGGTTGGCCGCCAGTGTGCCTCCCCCCATGTATCCCTCGGTGGCACTTCGATGCAGCAGGTCCATACTTGACCCACAAGCGTTGGAGGCGGCCGGGGGGGCTGAACTGGCTGGGAACCCCAGAAATTAGTCAGGGAGGGGGTATGAATCCAAATCCGCTCAAAATCGATCCCCGGACCCCTCCCCAGATCCATCAAAGGCAATGTTTGTTCAGTCGGTCCTGGGGCCCGAGAACGTCACCCGGAGGCCGACATCGGCAGAAGACCTTCTCGAAACCAGCACCTCGCACTCCTCGCACCTCGCCCTCCCTTCCTGCTCGCCGGAACCAAATGCTAGGCCGCCGCAGACCAGCAGCCAGCTCCAGCTCGGTGGCACTTCTCTGGATGTGGTCGATCTCTGACCCACAGGCGCACTCCATCGGGCACGGCCTCACCGACCCGTAGCAAGCCATCCACCTCCGCGACGCGAACCTCGCCTTTCAAGCTCCCCATCTGGCCGCACACATAACTACGTCTCGGGGCGAGGCGAGGGGGACGCCACTGCAAGGGATGGTGTGCTCTGGGGTCGTTTGGGCCGGGCCTGCCGCATGGGCTGCCCCCCCCCCTGACTCAGGACATCCTGGGGCAACCAACAGGTACCGATACCGCTACTCCCCGGACCTCTCCTGCGGTGCGTTCTGACCAGAATTTCGAGGCCAATCCAACGGTGGTGACGCGGGCCCCCCAAGGAGGCCCGACGAAAAGGGGAAAACGAGGGAGGGTAGATTGGTGGTCCCCAAACGTGGTGGTGAGAACACCCGGTGGTGAGTTTTGGGCGATTTGGATAATGGTTTTCGAGCGCTGGCTGGCCCAGGAAACGCAAAACCTCGTGGCGACCGCGTGTCCCCAAACCCGGTGGCGACCCAGAATCATTTTTGGGGGGAATCGGGGTCACCACCCGGTGTCTCAACACCTGGTTTGGAGACCACCAAGTAGAGGTATGGGTACCTTTCCCTCCTCTGACATTCGGGTCGGGCGAAAGGGGGGGATAGCAAAGGGGGGGTTTGAGAATCAGCTCGCGTAGCTGATTTTCCCGGCGCCTCCCGGCGCCGGGAGGCGCCCATGTAACCCCCCCTTCCCAAACCCCCCCTTTCGCCCGACCCGAGACATCCGGGGGGAGCCTGGGGAGCCGCGGCCGCCCCGCGAGCGCGCGCGCGGCCGGACGGGGGTCCTTCAGGAGCCGAACCAGGGGCGGCACGGCGCCCGCGCGCACGATGGCGGCCTGCGATCCGAGGGAGGGTCGGGGGGGCTCCTCCTCCTCCTCCTCCTCCTCCTCCTCCTCCTCCTCCTCCTCCTCCTCCTCCTCCCTCCCCCTCCTCCGTAGCCATTTTGGCTCAAGTTTCGGCTCGAGAGCTTTGGGTGCGACAGCCAGCCTGTCGCGAGCTCTCCTCGGGCTGGGACCATCGCGCCTTCGGAGGAGGCGTGGCACAGGCGGGCGCGCCGCCAGCGCTCCAGCGCGCGCTCCCTTGTCCGCGCCTGGAAGGGGGCGCGGTCGCCGCTGCTGCAGGCGCGCCTCGTGGAGGCGGCCCGCCTGCTGGACGCTCACCACGGGTCCTCGGCTGGCAGCATGGCTGTGGGCGCTGGGCGTCGCGGTGGCGGTGGCGCAGGGCGGCAGCCTGGGTGGCAGTGCCCGTGCCAGGGATGTGGCTACTACAACTTCGGGGAGCGGGACACGTGCCGTGTGCTGGGGTGCAAAGGCAAGCGACCCCCCACGAGGCGGCCCGCGGAGCTGGGGGACTTCGTGGTGCGGCCGCGCCCACGCGCTCCTCGTGGACCTGGGGCAGGCGAGGGTGGGCAGCGCGCGGGCGGTGGTGGAGCGCCCAAGCGAGCCCCCTGGTGGCCTGACGACCGTGCTGGTGCTGGTGGGGGTGGCACCGCAGCAGCTGGTGGTGGTGCAGGTGCAGGAGGTGAGGGCACTGGCATCAACGAGGAGCTGTGGCACAAGCTGGTGCAGTTGCCTGAAGACGCCTTCAAGGTCAGCGCCCAGCTGCTGGACGCCAAGACCAAGCGCGGGATTCTCCAAGCCAGGAGGTTGGCACAGGAGGGGCTGGGCGACCTCTCCAAGGTCAAGGAGGTCAAGGCGGCGCAGCTGCGGGCCGACGAGAAGTCCGTGCAGGTCACGAAGGCGGAGGGCCAGCTGGAGCAGGCCAAGGCGCGGGCTCATCGCGCTGTCGCTGAGATGGCGGAGCTGGGGGAAAAGCTGGTGCAGCTGCGGCGCGAGCTGGAGGAGGCCACGGTGCAGGCCAAGGCGGCCGTGGCAGCCCAAGCCGCGAAGCAGTCCGAGGCGGAGACGGCGAAGCCGAAGGCGCCAGCTGCGGCGGCCCCCACGGCCGTGTCGGCTGGGCTGCGGGCAGCGATTGCCGCGGAGCTCGCCAGCCACGCGGCAGAGGCGCCTGAGCTGGTGGTCAAGCTTGGCGGGGCGCTGGGCGAGATTCTGGACAGCCACGCCAGCCAGGCGGCACCTGAGGCGGCTGCTGCTGGGCTTCCGCGGCAGCAGGAGGACGTGGGTGCTGGTGGTGCGGCTCATGCCCCTGCAGCTGCGGCCGCTAGCGTGGCGCCCGCTCCTGCAGCCGCGGCGGGCGAGCCAGCGGCAGGAGGAGCCAATGGGGCGACTGGGGTGGACCAGGCCTGGCGCGAGCTCGCCATGGAGATGGAGGACCCCGAGAAGCGGAAGTTCGCCGAGGTGCTCAGGGAGGAGCAGGCGGGGTCGGAGGCCAAGCGGCTCCGCACAGCGGCTGAGGCTGGTGCGCAAGACTCCTAGCAGGCAGGGTGCCTGCTGGCGGTTCTGCACGGTCAACGTGAACGCGTTCTGCAACCTGGATGCGTGCCTGGCGGTGCAGGAGGTCAAGGAGTGCGACGCGGTCCTCGTCCAGGAGACCAGGCTGCTGGAGGGAAGGACCAGCGATGTGGAGGCTCAGCTTCGAGCCCAGGGATGGCGGGCGCGCGGCACGCCAGCCGTCCCGTCGTCGGCAGGAGGGCTCAGCTCTGGAGGACTGATCTCCATGGTTCGGACCGCCTATGGGATGGCGGAGGTGGACGACCCGATGGGTGCCGTGGTCGTCCCAGGCAGAGTTCACGTCTGCTGGGTCGCAGGGGTGAGGAGAGGCGGTGTGCTTCTCGGCAACGTCTACCTCGAGGCGGGGGTCGGCCTGAACGCGAGTAACGTGCAGGCGCTCACGCTGCTGGCGAGGAGGCTCAAGCAGTACCAGAAGGAGTACCTGGTTGGTGGTGATTTTAACCTCACGGAGGAGGAGCTGAGGGACGGAGGTATGCTCGCCATGTTTGATGCGGTGGTGGTTCGTCCTTCGACTCCTACGTGCGCATCGTCGGGGAGGGTCATCGACTTCTTCCTGGTGTCCAAGGGCTTGAGGGCGTGCGAGGTCAGCGTGGTGCCTGCGTCGCCCGTCTACCCGCACTCCCCTGTCCTTGTCAAGGTCGGCGCGACGGGGCCCCGTGCGCCCTTCCGCGTGGCGCAGGCGCCGAAGCCCTTCCCTGTCCTGAGGCCCTCGGGGTGCTGCGAGTACGACCACGTGGGCAGATGGAAGCGGAGTCGGCAGGAGATGAGGAGGCTCCTCAGGCCGATGGTGGACTTCGTGGACGAGGAGGTTGAGGCAGGCGCGGGCTGCAGCCTGGGGGGCCCAGTCCCGTTGGGAGCGGGCCCCCAAGGCACGTGCACTGGGTCTGCCAGTTGGCCGCAGCCTGGGATAAATTGCGGCAGCCATCCTGGAGTGGAAGAGGTGGACGCGCGGGATGCGCAGTCCCACCCGGAGCCCCAGCCACAGGTCCGACCGGCGGGGCTTGCTGGAGGGAGCGCGGCAGGCTGCTGCGAGGAGGCTGGTGCTGGTGAGGTGGCTGCTGGTGCTGATGCCGCCTTGGGGCTGGGCCGCCTCGCAGGCTGCCGCAGTGTGCTCGCGCCGCCCCCTGCGCTGGCCACCGCGGCTTCGGCGGTCAGCCTTGGCCAGCTTTGCGGGCAGCTGGACGAGCAGTGGCAGGAGGCAGTGCGAGGATGCGGCTTGCTGCGGGAGCCTGAGGAAGCTGGGCCTCGTGGGGAGGCGAGGAGCACGCCTCGTCGGCGAGAGCCTGGGCCCAAGCAGCCACGAGAGGCACAGGCCCAAGAAAAAACAACCCCACGAGGGCTCTCGAGGGTTAAAACTGAGGGGCCACGCCTGGGGAGCACGCCTGAGGAGCACGGGAGCGGGAGGCGAGGAGCACGCCTGAGGACCAGACCAGAGGCGCGGCGGAGCCCGTGGAGAGGGCTGGAGGAGCCAGCCGACCGCCTCCTTGGCGGGAAGTGCGTGCCAGCAGGAGGAGGATGCGACGAGGAGAAGGTCAAGGAGGGCCTCAGCATGGCCCTGGGCGCCTTCCTCCAGTGCGCGGAGGAGGAGTGGATCGACGTGTACCAGCTGGGGGAGGAGCGCGACAGGTATTCTGGTAGAGCTGAAGGCTTCTCCACCAAGGTCGTCGTCAAGAGCGGGGTGCAGCAGGCGAGGTCGCCGAGGCTTACCCCTGAGGCGGCGTGGGTGGCCAGGGTGGCCAACGCGCTGCGCGCCGCCTCCAAGGTGGGCGCGCCACGCGCCAGGCAGGAGGCGCTCGGGCACTTGCCTGCGCTCGCGGCTCGCGTGCCGCAGCGGGTTCGGACGCTGCAGGAGGAGGATGAGGTTGAGGAGGCTGAGGGCAGTGTGGCCAGCTGCGGTGCAGTGGCAGGCAGATGGCACGGCTTCCTGCTGTACGGCGCGGTGGCGCTGTGGGACCCGTTCGCGCTGGCACACATGGCTGACCTCGCCAAGCGGCATGCCAGCGAGCTAGCCCAACGAGATCTTGCCGAGCGAGGCAAGCGCTTTGACGAGTGGGTGGGTAAGCAGCTCAAGGGAGGAGCAGCAGGGCTGCACGCCGTCACTCGGGTGCCAGTAGGATGGCAGAGCAGCACTTGCAGTGGCAGCTCGGGCCCCGCAGGCCTCGGCAAGGAGATCGAACTCCTCGAGGCCGAGTGGGGCAAGCACTGGAGGATCGAGTGCGACCACGCCGAGCTGCAGTGGCCCTCAGATCTGGGCGAACGGCCTCCGCGGCCGTCCGTGGAGGACCTGCGCCGCTGCCTCCGCTCCTTCAAGAAGGACACGGCCTCGGGCTTCGAGGCCATCAAGCCCAGGCAGCTCCTCGAGCTCAGCAGCGAGGGGCTAGAGGCTCTGATCGACCTGCTGATGGCCGTGGAGCAGATGGCGGAGTGGCCGCAGCTGCACACCAAGATCGTGTTCTTGGCTAAGCGGCTCGGGGGCGTTCGCCCTGTGGCCATCATCCACGTGGTGGCCAGGGTCCAGGCGAGGCTGCGCAAGCCGCTGGCGGACGCCTGGGAGCGCAGGAACGACCGCCCCTACTTCTGGGCGTCCAGAGGCAAGGGCTGCGAGAGGGCGGTGTGGCAGCAGGCGGTAGAGTGCGAGTGGGCCTCGGCGAAGGGGCGTGAGGCTGGTGACGCCTCTAGCTGGGTGTCAGCGCTGGTGCTGCTCGACCTGCTCAAGGCGTACGAGCAGGTGCAGCACGGGCGCCTCATCCAGGCGGCGGTGCGAACGGGCTTCCCGCTGTGGCAGCTCAAGCTGCAGGTCAGCCTCTACAGATCTCCGAGGTGGCTTGCGCTGGGAGAGGCCTTGAGCAACCCCATCGCCACCAAGCAGGCGGTGCTGCCAGGCGACGGCTTCGCCACGCTCATGCTCAAGATGATGCTGATCGAGCCCCTCGACAAGCTGCAAGCGCTGGTGCCCGCCGTCTCCCTGTCGGTGGTGGTGGACGATCTCATCCTGAAGCGTGTCGGAGGCCTGCGGCGCACGGTGGATGAGGTGGCGACGGCGACACGGCGCCTCAAGGAGCTCCTGGGGAAGGCCGACCTTCGCATCGCCACCAAGAAGTCCAGGGCCCTCTCCAACTACCCTGAGGCGAGGCACGAGCTGGAGCGGAGGCTGCAGACGACGGCAGGCGTCACTGCGGCGAGGCAGGAGCGCAACCTGGGCGTCGACTTCAGTGGAGGCAAGCGGCCCGGACGTGAAGTACGAGCAGGAAGGATGCAGCAGGCCCAGCAGCGCCTTCGGAGGGTGAAGATCGTCAAGATGACGAAAGGCAGGAAGCCCGCGACGAGGAGGCTCGCGAAGACCGCCCTGCACCCCAGCATCGGGTACGGCACGGCCATCACAGGCTGCACCACGACCGAGCTCGATCGTGCCAGGTCCCTGACGT